TGTCTCTGACATATTGTAGTGTGATGTTAAAAGTGTCAATGCTCACTGACGATGCCTCCGAAATGTCTGGGAATGTGGTATCTCTCCTTCTGTCCTATATCCTCGTATCACCTCTTCTTCTTTGAATGTGGTATAGTGTACCCTTCTGATCGGATTTCACGAGAATTCTCCAAGCCCAACGCTGGCTGGCCGGCGGAACGTCTGGAAATGTATCATGTCCACGGTCCGACTCTGGAAATTATCATGTATACTATGGACTCCGGTCTAGTTGCGTTCCTCTAGGTCTTCCTACCAATATGACAAAGTTGAGAAAACGAGGTCAAACAAATTCCATATTTCTCTTTACCTGCAATCCAACGGTTCTAGTCTCACAGAAAGCTCAGATGATGCTAAGGCGAGGTCAAAAGTGTTATACATCCTGTAGAAGAATGCCTTTTGGGAAGCATTGCAATGAAATTCACCCCAAAACTGAGCCATCTCGCTAAATCATCGCACAAGAAGCATGTGCATACCTAATAAAAAAAAGACTTAATATTGTTCCCGAAACCTGTCTCTGTCACATTACAGCCCGAGCCTTCTTAAGCCATTATCTCATCGTGGAGTATATTTCACTTTAAAGTTATTTGTAAACCCACCATCTCAATCGTTTCATCATTATATCCTGTTGGAGTATGGTCGTTTGAATTGGAAACAACTGGATTAGGGCTATATTCCAGTGATCGCTGCTCACTGGCCTCGTCCATGTCTTCCGTATCGGGGATTAAGATGAATTCATTGTCCTGTTGAATGGGTTGGAGGCGAGAAACTAAGACGATCTCAGAACCTAGAGGTTTAATTGATTTCGATGACTGTGACAATGGAGAAGCGCCATCAGGAAGTCCCGGAGCAGCTGTGATAGTCAACTTGGGCTTCGCCATTTGCTCACTATTGGCCAGAGGGCAAGGGTTAACGAGAGATGATGTTTGTGAGGCAGAGGAAGCAGAAGACCGAGGCGGTCGGCCAGGCTTTCGTCTGCGAGGTGTCGCAACGCAAATTACTTCCGTTCCCTATAACAAATAAATACATAGTGGATGAATAAAATAGAAAAAAATACCCGAAGAGCATAGGATAGTCTAAAATTTGCATATACTTTATCAATCTTAAAGCCGGTGCATTCGAAGAAAATTGAGGCCTAAAGAATATTTAAAGTGATTAAAGCTAGTTTCAAAAAATGAGTTCATGTGATGAAAAGCCTTATTTTTTCAGCAGTCCGAATGGCTAAATGAGCATAAAGTTGATAGTTACAAGGAGAAGAAAACTTTGAAAAATAAAGTGAAAGAAGCTGGAGTATGGACTTTAAGGAAAATCAACCACACTAATTATTAAGATGTTGAGGAATGTTAAGTGATTAACAGAAGAGCATAATTTCCTGAAACCATTATTACGAAAGAACCATTCCTATTCTAAATGCAGTTATAAAGGAATTTGAGTAGGTTTCGAGACTATCCCCAATTGCCACAGATCACCATAAGTCGCATAAGGTAATTTAAGGACTGATTATGTCGTTTTTCCCATAATGGTATGAGGGAAGAAGTGTTGGTTCGACTTTGTTTTCGCAACTTGGTCGGAGCGTCAGGAAGACCTTGTGGAACGTACCCGGTCCCGTGTCCTCTGCTATAGTATTGATGATTTTCAGCACTGGACCATTGGTTGGGTACATTCGCAAACGTTTCGCAGGCATCGTCAGTGAGAGGCGCCATCGTAAGCACAGACAAGTGAAACGTTTGGGAATGTACCCGACCAAAAGTCCAATAAGGGAAATCACGAATACCATGGCAGAGGGCACGCGACCAGGTATGTTCCACAAGGTCTCACTGACGCTCCAACCAAGTTGTGAAAACAAAGTCGAACCAACACTATAAAGCTAAAAGAAACTGCGACCAAACAGGAGGCCACACCATAATGGTCGTCATATCTACAATTTAAAGGAAGCCTTAAGCAACGGGCCAAAGCAGATTTACTGAAAAATAATGTAAAGCGGGGTAGGCGAATTAAAACAAAACGCAGAAAATAAAGGAATTCATTGAAATTTATAATAAAAAATCGGTCAAACCTTGCTTGAGGAAATGTCGTCAGGTTGTCTCAGTGGCTTGCCTCTCCTGGAGAGTTTTGATATGCTTGGTGCAACATCGGAGATAGGTTTGTCTGAACAAAAAGCCGTAGTTTCGTCTGGGATCGGCATGTCAGGCTCAGGCTCTGTGCAGGCGGCCGCGATTATGCTTTCCTGGTCGACCAAACTGGTGGAGGCGGCCTCGTTTGCCAGTTGGGCTTCAAGAGCAGCTACCTCGGCCTCAAGAGCGGAGCATTCGTGCTGAAGACGCTCGCGATCCTAGAATGAGGGAGAAATAATAAGTGGCAAGGATATCGTCAAAGGCTCTCTTTACATAATAGTTCGCCACCGGTGGCCTTTTGTTCGATCGTAATCTCCTTTAACTGTACAGTTTTGGTTTAACCTCGTTTTCATAACTTGCTCGAAGCGACGAGTATACCTTGCGAAAAGCTCCTATTCCGGTGTCCTTTACCGTAGCATTCATCAACATTGTCAGCATCGAACCGGCGACTCGGAACATTACCAGGCGTTTCGCCGGCAATGTCAATGACATACTCCATCCTTAACACATAGTCACAACATGTGAGTGACAGGTGAAGGCAATCCTATTGACCAATTTTATGTTCAACCGTTGTGGCATCACTCCTCGCCCCATTTTTCCTCTAAACTGGTGCTGTATCTCTTTTTCTCAACCCCACTTCATATCGCCCATTTACCTATTCACACAATCCTGCCTTCTCTTTGCTTCCAATGTCTCCTAAGAATGTGTCGCTATAAGTGGATTTAGTTGGACAAAATTACCTTCCCCATTGGTTTCAGCTGTCGTTTGTGGGGCTTCTGACTCACTTAGCCACCCTTCACCCCTCTCACTGCTATACATGGCAAGAAAGTGGAATAATAAGACAGCGCAGAATTCAGCCAATCCTACCAAATCATGATGTTTCGGTAGTAACAATAACCACTC